TTATTATTTATATTTTATATCAAAGAGAACTGTTTGTACAACTTTATTTTAAGATTAGAAACGCAGATGACGCTTGAAAGTAAAATATTTTGCAATCGCAACGAATCTCCTGATGAGCTGCCATTTATGATACATGATGACGATGATAATTTATTTACAAAGTGAAGTTGGAGAAGTTGGAGAAGCGCGCTACGTTATCTATCTCAAAAATGATACACGAGTACGTTGTTATAATAATTAGAATCAGAACGTTATAATAATTAGAATCAAACGAAAGAAATGAAGAACGTTGTTACGGGAAAAGATATGCTGATTTCTACAAAAACGCATGTATATTGAATACGCATATAATTTTGTAAATTACCCAATGAAATTCTATATTCAAAATAAAGTTTTTGAAAGTTTATTCAAAGTATGTCAAGATGTATTAATGTACTGATTATTATTTTCAGCGTTCATAAAAAATTGCCGCGCAAACATTCTTTTGACGTTACGTTAAAGATTGAAATTTCGCAATAAAGTCTCAAGTATTTGCAACACGCGGCGTTAACGATCGACATCGTCAAAGAAAAATACGCAATATTATTATATCAGATATTATTTGCAATATCGACAGATGTATAAATGTAACATTGTCACGACACAAGCACACAATGACAAATGCATCCTCTTTGCGATGCCACAAACGTGCACATTATGCTATCGCTGTAAATTTAATAGCGATAATCACCGGAAATTGCATCGCAGAGAAATACTTATATATCAAACATAGAAATATTTCAAGAGGATCAAAAAATGCGTTTTCGCTTCATTGAACCTCACGTCAACACCTTGTCTCATGGTTAAATAGTACTCTCAATCGGTATCCAGCGAACTAAACGAACGCGTTTCAGTCTCCAAAATATTATCATTTCCCGACTGACTCTTCTAATTTTTTATTTCACGTTTCCAGCGCATTCACGTTTATCATTAAAATATCGCCCTTTCAATAAAATACATCTTTTTATACATTTTATTTTTTTTTTCTCTACTTTGCTTATTCAAAACTATTTTACAAAAAACGAAAAATTTGATTTTAAGAATTAATTTTTTCGATTGTCTTCCCTCATATATACAAAAGCAAATGTATGTTTACATGATCAGATAAATCTACAGATGAACAAATAAAAGAAATATCTTTTACATAAAATGTGTTTTCGGGCAACTAAAAGGTGAGTGAAATAAAAAAAATTAAAATGAAAAACAAAGAAAATATATCTTCGCGAAATAAAAAGGTATTAAAATATCATAATTAACACCTTTACAATTTGTGTTGCAATTTAATTCGCGATGACAGCAATTATTATAGAATAATCGCTTTATTTTCTATACGCTTTATTATCGGTAAATTTATTATTACCGATATTGGAAAAGTTTCCTTAATTCAATCTTTAGTGTGTTTTCTTTTACGAGCCACACACATAGCGCATCATTTTTAAATGCTTAATTAAACGACTATACTTAATTCACGCGCATCTGTCTCGAAGTAACAAATTTCCACATTTCTTTTCATGTTCGATCACCGCGAGCTGAATCTGCGCTATAAAAGAAAAAAAGAACACATGCGTCTTCTTTACCGTCGATAAGAATCAAACGTATGTCTCACTAAATCGTTGCTATCATTTTTTTCTCACTTTGTCCTAAAAGTATTTTATCGTCAGAACTACTACTGCCTATCTAAAAATCTCTTAATCTAAAATCACACTCAGAACGTAATTATATGCGTCCTTCTGTTTTTCTATACATCTCGAATTATCGCTCAAGATACGAAACACGATAAAACGAAAAGAAAGAAAACGCTTCAGGATAGAGAACGGTATGTCGCGCTTGCTTCAGAGTTTCTCTGTAGCCGAAAAGAATATCCGCATTCATTCACTGATAAAACAACATATTTATAATTATAATTATAAATATGCAATTACAATATTTTTCAATGATATTGTCAAAATATGCGTCTCTGTTCTTCTGCTTTATTCTTGGTGATTTCGATAACATTGTACTTTGTATTTATTCCATCTATTTTATTTAGATATGTTATTATATGTTCCTATTATATGTTTCTAGAAGCTGTTGTTTTATCAATGAACTGAAATGAGAATAAAAGCATTCAAACGATCTCCGACAATCTCAGTCTCTCTTGAAAGCGACTTGAATCGGACATTTGGATAAATATTTGGCATAGTAGTCAAATTAGAAATTAATAAATCAGATCTTTTAAATTATATTTTTATAATATATATTATAATTATATAATATAGATCAACACTGTATAAAATCTTAATTCCCCGATATTTAATTCCTTTAACAAATACTTGGGAAAGATTTAATATTTTTAATATAATAATTAAAAAGTGATTCAAGAAATTATATGCAATTATATGCGCGGCTGTATTTCTATGTTTTATTATTATTGTGATGTAACGAGTATTCAATCGCAGATTTGATCAAGACATGTCGATTGTCAAGATTCGTTTGAATCGATCGAATTCCCGTGTCTAGTTACTGTCACATGATTAGGGCGCTTACAACATACAATTGAAAATACCGAAAGTACTTAGCTACATAGAAATGGCTTCGATCCAGCGCTTTCTTTCGTCCCGATCCTCCGCGTAGATTCTTCTTATCGGGGATTTAGATCAGATGTAAAATCCATGCTGCAAACTGTTTCACGCATTCGCTTCTTTCTTCAATTCTACATGAAACATGACAATCATCGTGTAACGTTTACTTTTCTCGCGTTCTTAAACCTAGGAAATCGAATCTAAAATAAAGAAATTACGTCGGCTCCGATTCCTGATTTTCACTCTTCTTTCTTTCATTCTCCTATATTTTTTAAATTATTTATTATTAACTCTTTTCCTCTCCTCTTTCTTCGTATCGATACATCGCGTTCATACGATAAGTCGGCAGTGCGTTTATTGGAATAAATCGCGATTCTGCGATCGCGCGAGGAAAAATGAGGGAAAATGATCGTCGCCGAGGTGGACAAGAATCGTTTCCTCGACGCGGAAATTCTCGAGATTTTCAAGATCGGCCGTCGACAAGATCATTGGACACATATGTGGTTCGCGCATTACCTTTGTCCTACCCTCTTGATACGCTTAGAACTGCGAAAGTCTTGCGAGACGTCCTCCTCTTTCTTTTATTTCCTAGTTTGAGATCTAAGGAGTCCTGTCATTCGAAATCTCGATCTTGAGAGACCAGAACGAGCGAATGTGGGATCGGAACAGTCACGAAAGAACAGGATGCGAGCTTCTTTCGACCTGTCGAGACGGCGAGTTGTCAACAAACGCGAAAGAATTCGTGAAAAGATCGATCATAGCAACCATAATTTTTCTTCGAAACAACTCGGACATTATAGACGATCCTTTTACGACATTTTCGATATCGTCGTCAATTCGTGCCTTCCAAATCATTTCGAAAATAACTTCGCGCTTACGTGGAATTCATCCTTTAGCTCCGCGTAGTTTCTCTTCTGAATGTAAAGTTTTTGGAAGCACAGCGAGAGCACTCGAAAGCTTTTATCCTATCCCGTCACCGCAACGATATACCTTCTTTACGATTTTAACATCCGCGTTTGTGACTCGCCGCAACTCTCCCACTTTTCCCGTTCTTTTCTCGCTTCTGCATTTTCGTTCGTCGCGCGTATCTATTCGAATTTCTACCTATCGTTCCCTTTCCTTCATCTTACACTGCGCTTCAGGAAAGACACCTCAATCTAAAAGACTTACGAATCTTTATTTTAGTAAAATGCGCTAGTCGCTCAATCAAATGCTGCTTCGTTATCAATGCTGACGTTAGAGAGGAAAAGTGCCTATCGTATCACTCCCTATTTCTACAGTCTCTTTAGTTTCGGATTATCGCTGCATTGAGAAGGATCGATGACGACGGCAGCTTCTTCGACTCGTCGATTCTCTTCTCTCTTCTTTCTACTTTTTGTTCCTCTTCGTGACTGATTTGTCGTCAATTTATCGTGATTTATTGCGAATCGTGCCTCGATGAAAATCCGTATTCGCGATGATCGATTCAAGGTTCAGCTCTTTCTTCAGCAAACCAAGGATCTCATATAGAAAACACGTTTTTTCCGGTTCTCGAGTTTCCACCAATCGGAGAGAGAACAAATCGTGCAACATCCTCGGATAAATATCTTGTGGACATAAATCCGGGAACGATATCTCATCAAGGATGATACGATTCGAAATAGGCTTTCCATTTTGCTGATTTTCGAATGTCCTCACAACATCCTTGAATATTTCACTAAGGATGAATTTTTTTCGAGCGTGACCATCGTTCAGAAATGTCTCATCGAGGATGACAGGATTTGAAATTCTATCTTCCTTGAAATACTCTCGAGAAATATCCTATCGAGGATTATTCGATTCGCAGCAATGATTTTTCAATCATTTTAGAGACACTATTCTCGAGAGATATTCTTTCAAGGACAAATCCATTCGCAGTGACACTCTTGAGGGATAACTTGTCGATTCAGAGTTATCTTTTTATTCCTCAGGGCATCCTCGAGCAATCTCCCGTCAAGAACTATTCGATTCGGAGCAATAATCTCATCAGCACGACGACATCCTCGAGGGATATCCTTTTGAGGACATTCAGCATGACGTTCTCAGGAATATCTCTCGCTGTCAGAGGATCCTCGATCAGGACGAGAAGAATTTTTCTCCCTTCTTCCGGCACTTTCCCCTCCCACGCGCGCGCACATTTGCGCGCGTATTCGATCATAAATGCCAACTAACCTCGCGCGACCTGTACACGTGTGTAAAATCTAAGAAAAGAACAAAGGACTGGCCCGTCTTTTTGACGTTCGCGTTTTACTATAGCTATTAATTATCACCCTCCTCTCCGCTTTTCCTGCGCTTTCCTGCTCTCACGGTACCCACGATTCCAACCCTCGGGAATCTCCCACCGCTCTTTACTGGAATTAATTGGCTACTTCGTGTTTTAAATTGGCTAATGTATGTGCGTGTACGTGTGCACGCGCACGCGTGTATGTAAATGTGTGTGTATGTGTGTATATGTGTGTAGATGTGTTTCTCCCTTTCGATCATGTGTATACAATGTATAATACGTATAATATATTGCTATATATACATGCAAGGTGTAGTGGGATGCATAGAGAGATGTATAAATTTTATGTAAAATTCTAAGCTAGCTTTTTCTTTGAAGAATTTATCAAATATGTTGTAATACTGATCTCTTCTAATCATTTCCCAGTTTTTAATATTGATCGTGAAAATTTTTTCAGATCTCATAAATATTATTGAAATGAATATCGATAATCATTATCCAAATCATTTCATCAAAATTTTGAGAGAAGAATTTCGTTTAAGTGCAAATTAAAATTAAATTAAACTATTATTAAACAGAATCTTATTTGTCTACTTGTACTTTATACCGTTGTTAAATCTTTTGATTAAACTTTGATTGTGAGCATTTCGAAGAGAAAGCTCGTTAAAGAAAGAACCAAGAAAGAAAGTATCCAGAAATGCATTTCGAAAGGAAAATAGAAGAAATCTTCTATTTCCTTGAAGCGCATGTCCCAAAGGGAAAATTGTATAAACTTCCAACTTTCTTTCGAGGAAAGGAACATAAAGAAATCTAACAGACCAGTTTCTCTCAAATTTCTCGAAATATGTCCTTGTGTGAAAATCGATATTTTTTTATTCGTTCAACATTTTCAATGATTTAACACTTCCGAAAGATAATTTTCTCAAAGAAATTGTATTTTTGCGGAAAGATCGGATAAGGTCTAACATCATTGAAAATGCATTTCTGGGATTAATCAAAAAGATCTAAATTTCCTGTCATACGTCCCTACCATTTTTCTATGCATCCCTCACGATATCCCGTGCATGTATATGTATCAGCTAGTCGAAAATTGAGGCTACAGTGTGCGGCAGTCTATTGTCTCTCTTGGCTCTTCTCTCCGTAGCTTCCAGTTCCTCGTCTTCCTTCTTCCTCCTTCTTTTCTTCTTCCTCTTGTTATCGGTGACTTATTATCTTCCGGTCGGCGAAGGGCCTCCTTTCTTCGTGGAGCGCGACGCGGAGTCGTCACCCTCGAGTCCGATGCTCTATCTCGGAAACGGGAACGGGGAAGACTTTTTATTCCCACTGGTGTGGAGAGGGTGGCAATTCCGAAGGATGAGCCACCGTGGAGCTGCAAGTCGTACGAACAAAACATTAGAGTGGCGACGAAGGGCAAGGGGGGTAAGGGACCAAAGAAGCCAGACTGGGAGAACGTGCGACCCTTCTGCGGTAAAGCGAGCGATCACCCTGTATAACGGCTGTATAATGGTATCTCAGCCAAAACGGTCTGGATAAAATCGCTTTCCCGTTTAAATTATATTATTAATTAAATTAAATTGTAAAATTAATAATTCTTGTTTTACGTGAAATTTAAAGCTTATTATTAGGCGATAATAATCCAATTACCGTAGAGTAGTTAGGGCAATCGATCGCAGAGCGAGTGAAGGGAAAACGAGTACAACTACATGCGAATTGTCGAGCTAACTTCTTACAGTCGAAAAGTCATGACATTTAAAAAATAATCTGAATAAAACTTAATTTCTTCCAAATGAAGAAATTTTTCAAACTTCTGAAATCTTAAAAAATTTCTTACATTGTTTAATAAGCATAAGCGATTGAAGTGATAAATTCAAATATACTGGATATAACATTTATTATTCAGCTTAATTAGTTATATGGACGTTAATTATATCAAATATTTATATTATATCGAAATTAATCTGTATGTATTTGCTCGGCTATTCGCGTTCTCTAATGATCGAAAACGCGAAGTACGAAACGCCACAATAATAATAATTTACAACTACCACATTTCGCACTTCTTTGTTATCGATCGACTAAATCATAAGAACTAAAATCGTCAGCGAGCAGTAATAGTGCGGGGTGTTTACTTTTTTTTTTTCGAGTCCGCTAAATAACATCACGGTTTTCTATTCTTTGTCATAGTAATAGAGAACACTAAAAAATTAGGTACAGCTAATAGCATATAATGTATATAATAATAATAATAAAAAAAAAATTTTCTAAATTTGTGTATCTTTTCATGCCTAAGAATGTAATAAATTTACTACACACCAAATCAAGGTTCTCGCTCATCTTCGATGAGAAATCATTTTCTATCTTGGCGTTAATATAATTGTAATTGCCAAGTGACAGCCGACGTCGGTAATTATTAATTACCGTTATCGAACTGGAGCACGCGCTACCCGCTCGTGACGATCATTCCCAAGAATTGATGGATCTCGACCCTCAATAAGCAAAACAACAAAAATGTCTGATTTCCATGCAGCTGTCAGCACGCATGACAGCCGATCATCTCTCTTCTAAAATCTTTTTCTTGTCTCTCTCTCTCTCTCCCTCCTTAGACACATTATTTGCAATATGAAATTTATTTCCGTTATTTTTTTCTTTGTCTAGCGTCTCTTTCGGGTTATTCTTCGAAGTTAATAGCGACCTAATATCGGGTAAATATTATCTACGGGACAGGAAATGTTTTGCACGGACTACGAAATATAATTTCAGGGTGAATTCAGGGAGAGGATAATGGTTTTAGGGAGAAAACAATTTTCGATCTATGCAGATCTTCGAAAGAGAGTTTGCATCTTTTTCTCTTGCTTTCTTGGCGCGTCGCGACTTGTCATCGCTTGTCTTTCTCATCGATATTTCTCTCAACTGAAGGCTGCATGGTAGATCAGGCCTTCTTTTACACTCATAATGTCAACGGTAAAACAATGTGCTCCGTTCAGGTGTTTCTTTCGTTTCTTTTATGCATGATATATTCGCGGAATGACGAGACAACGACGGCGAATTGTATCGTGCGCTTGCGAAATCGGGGTGACTGCTTGTAAATTGTTATTGTCTAATGCTCACATGTTGCCAACAGATTATAATACATTTTTTAATTATAATACATTTGAATCAGAAATAAAAAATGAAAATTTAAACAGATTTTTTTTCTGACTGACAAGATTAACATTTGATCTTTTTGTAATTAATCTCAATTTGATTGTAATTTCGAAAAGTATTCCTTTTATTTCCTTTACCATATTAGTGATATAAATACATGACATAAGCTTTAATAGGTCACAAGATGAGCAGAACAAAAAAATTGGGTCGCAATTGACGAACATTCCTCGAAGATCATAATTTTCTTATTAATTAGATTTCTTTGGACTTGCTTTTAAGCCACGAAAGTGGGCCAGCAACGATGCGATTTCTCGCTTCAGCAACGCTCTCGCCCAGTCGAAGCAACAAAGAGAGAGAGAGAGAGAGAGAGAGAGAGAGAGAGAGAGAGAGATATACAGAAGGAACGGAAATACTCATCGGACAAAGGAACGGTATCCTGCCAAGTAATACCGGGTATATTATTGTGTCGCGCCGATGTTTAAGGAGCCCGTTAATTGCATATGCAAAATTGCTGCTAATTAGCATCGTTAAACGCGTCTCGCGTCTCTATCGTCACTTTGAATCACGTCGTCAAAATCCGTGAAACTGCGCGACGTTGAAGTGTCCTAATTTCGCGCATTTCCGCAAAATTTATTTTTGGGTTTCATTTCGAATAATTATATATACTTGCACGTTTTTCAGTTAATTCAGCCGCTACAAATGAACACAAAGTATTGTTATTTTATACAAAATGAGCGTGCACTTGCATTTCGAATAATATCATTATTTATGAATTATATTGAGACATCGCGAATATTTCGAAGCGAGTCTGGATTTATATTCGACAAATGTAATCCATTTCAACAATTTCAATAACAATTGGAGGATAATCCTTAATTTAATTTTCAATAATCGAATATTTGTCGCATGTATATATATATATATATATATATTCTATTAAGAACCATTTTCAATCTGACTTTCAATCGTTTTTAATAGGGTTGATTCAAAAATTATTACGTTATAATACTGAATCGATATTATTATAATCTCCTTTATAACTCTCTTAGAGATAATCTTATTGGATTCACGGACAGACTTTCGAGGAGTTTTATTTCCCTCTTGGAATGTTTAATCAAGCGCTTCTGCCACGCTTCCATCGTGTGTCGGTATCGAATTCATCTGTAATTATATTTAATTATAAACAAGTGTGTCACCCCGTTCGAGCGCAATCAACCCGCCTTGACATGAAATACGCGACGCGATTGATCCGATTCGGAGATGCGACACGCCACACAGGCCCGCTTCGAGATCGCCGATCACAACCCTTCCAATTTTCAAATAGACACATATAAGAAGTAAATCCACACGCGAATTTACATCTCTTGAAAATCGAAAGAGCACCGGCACGACGATTCCGGTGTGCGGACACCGTGTATGTCGGTCGCGTCGGCAAACGTTTTCGACGGAATGTACAGAGGCACGGTGTATGTACATCATGAGGTAAACAAAGGACGGTTAGAGAACCCAAGGTGAGACAGTTGTAACACAAAGCAAAAGGCAATATACTTGGTATTATAAAAAATAGGCTGGATCATGTACCTCTGCGAGCGAGGTCGCGCCGACTATAGCTGACTCTCGTTTCGTTCGGTTCGTTCAGGAGGAGGCGTAACACGATTGGTAGTAGTAGTGGTAGCGGTAGTAGTAGTAGACGATAGCGGTAGTAGTCGATAGTAGCTGACAGTGGTAGATAGCTGAGTCGGTAGTGGTAGTAGTAACGTGTACGTATACGCGGCGCAGGGCGCTGGTTCGGCGATCGGCTTGCTCTAACTTGACGGCAGAGTAAGCAAGACGTACAATTGTTACACATTCAGCATCAGTTGCAAGTAACACTACCCAACAACGCACACCTTGTAGAAGTTGCAATGATAGTAACGGTCAACTATCGAGTATCAAATCGACAAGTCGAGACGGATTTTCGCGTGAATGCCCCTACTCCCAGAGTTCCAGAAGCGATTTTAAACAATCGGGAGAATATACTGAGAATAATAAAAAAAATCTGATCGACTTCGTGGACCGATTTTGTCATAAAAGTCACGCCTAGATTTTCGAGCTTTTTGCTTCTAATAATTTAAAGCGTTAATACATCGACATACGCGACGCGTATTTTAGGTAATTGTAAATTGTATTTGTCATCATTTGTATAACAATTGTGGATTATTTAGTACATTTTAATGCATTACATTTTTATGAAATAATAGAATGTTTTATAATATTTAATTTTTATTAAATATATTTATAAATATTGTGAATTAAAAAATAAATCTACGATACATACAAAAAATCTAGACGTACTGATACCTTTAATTTTGAAATTAGGAAGCTACGAAAATTTACAATTTTACTTTCATACTTTGCTTTTATACTTCTACAAAAGGAAAATTCAATTTTGTTGAGTAGTGTAATCTGGGGAAAAATATTACATAGGTGTGTTACTAAAATTGGAGATGTTTCTTCACCTTGATATCGCAGAGAGAAAATTAGAACGATATTTTAGAGCATAAATTTAAAGATTGTCTGAAACCGCGTAAAATTCGACGGAAATTAAAATATTGAAATATTAAATAATACAGTAATAGCAAAAAGAAGTTTACTATTTCAATTTTTTTAAATAAATAATTTTTTCACCAAAATTTTAATTTTACTAATGAATTTCTGTTTACATTGTTTTTGTTTTCTATTTTTCTATGTGTCATGTATCATGTAATTTTCATTGTGTTTTCATTACAAATTATTTGCATGTTATATCGTGAGTCTATAATGTCGGTAAATATCATAAAATATTGCACATCACTTCATGATGAAATAAATTGATTGCTTCAATTGATTATTCCCTGTTAATATTACGGTACTTTCATTACTTTTAATAATGTAAATTTTCCTATCCCCAGAAACATGATAATTTATAATTTTAACGTCAATGTGAAGCAATCTCATTATTTATGAATACCGATCAAGTATGTGCATTCTGAAAAATTTGTAACATAAATTCGTGATAGAATTTTAATAATTTTACATTATAAAAATTATCTAGAGAGATATTTTACATATTCTTTTATTACATATTCAATGAAAAATAATGTTCGAAGAATTTTGAGAAATAAACTATAAATTTGTGCACACGTGAAAAAATAAACACGGAAAAGATTTTACGTTCCACCATTTTTTTCGTCCATATATGCATCATAAAATATCATTCTAATTTTCCATTCGGCGATATTGATAATTATTAATTCCTTATCTATTTGATTTCTGTTTCTTCATATATCGAGAGATCGCATACAGCAATTGTATCACAGTGGGCCGACAGGGTTACGTAAAAAACACACACGTATCTTTATATTTTACTCTTCCTCGGAACAATGTCAAAAAGTACAAAGCGTCCTTTGTGGACCTTAGCAAGAGGATCGCCAGGACGAAAGGCCCCTCTTTCTTTTTCTTTCGACTCGTCTCGAATCCCGTCCGATTTTGAAATTTACTTTCTCTCTTATAACGCGTCGAAAGACTCAGCCGGCTCTAGTCAGCGCTACTTTTCGAACACCCGATATATTCCGCTCGTGCTATTCGATTGCTTCGACTTGATAAGAAACACTGTGCGCCCCTCTATGAACTCTCTTGGGGATTATCTTGTCTGTTCTTTTTTTTTCTATCTAGGATTCAGGATATAGGATCTCGATTCGGAAGATGCACGAATGCACAGGAAGGAAGATATTGATTTTTTTTTTTAATTATTAATCTTCCGAGGGATAGTAAAAGGGAGAGTGTTGCGAATGTTTTCTTTTCTTTTCTCTCTTTTTTAAGTCTGTTGGATACTTTTTTCGTCAATCAGCTCCGGTGACTTTTCTGTATGCGACTGGGGGGGGGGGAAGTTTTGTAGGTCAGGTCATGTTATACCGAGTTCCAAAACCACAGAGAGGTATTTGCGTTACGGTTATATATTTAAATAGTCAAGTAAAACTGTTCTTCTTTTTTCATCATTTACTTTCGAAATAGTTTTACAATTAACGCAAAAATCTCATCATCACTCTAAATGAAATTCTAAAGACATAAAAGTTTAATAATTTTCTTGAAAAAGCCTTTTAATCGGCTGTTATTTTAACATATTATTCAGTCTTATCTTCTGGTCTTCTCCGGTAGTTTTGGAATAAAACGCGTGTACCGATCGGCCAAGGGCGAGTCGCGTGGATTCGCTTTGTTGTATTGCTTACCTCGCGAAGCTCTTGAACGCCGCGGATTGCGGATTTATGCAGAGCGGCACTCGCGACGTGTTCAGCTGCTCCGCTATAAATTTGTGCATCTCCTCTGAAACAAACAATGACGTACCAATATGTAAAGTGAGTAACAAAGGGACATTGATGCTTACAATTTCCTGTCAAGATAGTACCGTAAATAAAACCATGGTTTATATCCTCATTGCAGTATTAAATGCTCAACTAAATTATCCTTATTCTCATTG